AAGAAACAGAAGAATTGAACAAAACTTGTGAACAAATGGACTTAGTAGACGTTTACAGTGTTCCACCCCGCAGCATCAAAACATACATTCTTCTCAGCTGCACATGGGACTTTCTCTAAAATAGACCACAGGGGCTGGGGATTTAGCTCAGCGGCAAAGCGCCTGCCTGGCAAGCACAAGGTCGTGAGTTCGGTTCCCAGTACCGGAGAAAAACCAAAAAAAAAATAAAATAAAATAGACCACATACTAGCCCATAGAACAAGCTTAACTAAATGCAAAGGAATTCAGATTATCCCATGTGTACTATCTGAGCATAGTGCAATAAAATTGGAAATCAACAACAAAAGGTACCACAAGAACTCCATAAACACATGGAAATTAAATAATAGCCTCCTGAGCAATCACTTGGTTACAGAAGAAATTAATATCCACAAGCAAATGAAAATGGTAATACAGCTTACTGGAATCTGTGGGATGCACTGAAAGCAGTACTCAGAGGAAAGTTTATAGTGGTGAACTCACATATCAGGAAAACAATGAGAACAAATAGATTAATGCTGCACCTCAAATTTTTAGAAAAAGAACAAGTCAAGGCCAAAGCACAAAGAAGGGAGGAAATGATAAAGATCAGGGCAGAAATAAATGCAATTGAGACAAAGAAAACAAAGAATTAATGAATTACAGGGTTAGTTCTTTGAAAGAATAAATAAAATTGACAAACCCCTACCAAAGCTTATCAAAAAAAGGAAAGACTCAAATTCATGCAATAAGGAATGAAAAAGGTGAAATCATCACAGATCCTATAGAAATTCAGAAGATCATCAATACCTACTTTGAAAATCTTTACTCCCAGAGGATGGAAAACACAGAAGAAATGGAGAGATTCTTAGATAAGTATGAATTACCAAAGTTGAATCAAGAAGATACTTGAATAATCCAGTATCAATTATGGAAATTAAAAATGTGATTAAAAACCTACCACAAAGAAAAGCCCAGGTCCTGATGGATTCACAGCTGAATTCTACAAGACGTTCAGAGATGATTTAACGCCAACACTCCTCAAACTCTTTAATGAAATTGAAAAGGAAGCAGTTCTCTCTAGCACATTTCTGGAGGCAAGTATTATACTGATACCAAAAGCAAAGAAAAACCCAATGAAAACAGAGAACTATAGGCCAATATCCCTTATGAACATAGATGCAAAGCTACTCAATAAATTACTAGCAAACAGAATTCAGCAAATCATCAAGAAGACAATACACCATGACCAAATGGGATGCATTCTGGGGATGCAGGGATGGTTCAATATATGCAAATCAGTCAGTTTAATATAGCATATCAACAGAGCCAAAGACAAAACCCACATAATCATGTCAATAGATGTAGAAAAACCTTTTGACAAAGTCCAACACTCCTACAGAACATAGGAATAGATAGTCGTTACCTCAATCTGATCAAAGCCATCTATGACAAACCAACAGCCA